TGTGATTTTTTACTTCAGCTCCAAACTCCACAAGCTATAAGCCTTCAAACCTTTAAAATATTCCTATGTCTGTGGTTCCGTGTTTTGGAGCTCTGCCCTGGGTCTGCTTTGCCTGGTATTCTGAGTTATTGCTGATGACAAACTTCACTGCACCTCCACCCTAACCGCCATCAAGTCCCACCTCTCTGACTGATTATTTTAAGTTTCTCCATTGTCTCTTTCCACTGATGTAGATAATTTGATTCTTGTGTGCTCTATCCAGCAAGATCAGGTGCGCAGTTACCTTTATATTGTCAATAAAAGGCATTAGCAATGAATAAGTCATTGGCCTTGCAAAATTCTATTGTGTTGTCTCCAGCATCATTTCTGTCACCAAGGTCATATGTTCCACTGCTGATCCTTCTTTGTTTCCAGCTTTCAGATTCTAATCACCAGTAATTATGAATGTCCCTTGATTACATATTTAATCAATTTTAAATTGCAGAAATTAGGAAACAATTTAAATTTCTTCTATTTTAGCTTTAGTGGTTGGTGTGTAAAACTGAATCATAATTAAATTAATTGGTCTTCATTGTAGGTGAGTAGGTATTATCTTATCACTGACAGTGTTATACTTCAAGACAGATCTTGAAATATTCTTTTTAACAATAGATATAATGTCATTCTTCTTCAATTTGTATAGTATATACAAGTTGTATATACAAATAGTATATAGTATACACTATTCTTCCCAGTATAGTATATCATATAATTGTTGAATTCAGAATGGTTAGTACGTGCCCATTTCAGCTCACTTAATGCTTAGGATCTTTATGTGTTCTATTTAATTTTGACAACTTCCAATTTCCTAGATTTCATACATTCCACATCCTAATTATTAATAAATATTTGCAGCTGTTTCTTCTCATTTTGAGTGTGCCACACCAAAATATAAAGGTCCTGAAAACTTTGCTACATCCATTAAATTCGATTCTACTTAGAGGAGACAGCCCATCCCCAGTCATATGTTGAGTGTCTTCCAACCTCATCTTCCAGCTCTATTTTAGACAGTGTTTCACTACTATTCATAAGGTTTTCAATGGCCAGTTTTTTTTCAGAAGTAGACAGCCATGTTTTTCTTCCTAGTCTGTCTTATTCTGGAAGTTCTGCTCATACCTGTACACCATAGGTGAGCCTGCTGGTATTCTAAATACTGGTGGCATAATTTCCAGGATCACACCAACAGGTAAGTCAACATAATATGACAAACTGATGGTACATTTGTGTCTCTATGTGTCTAGCTGATCCCTTCCTTACTAAATGACCTAGGAACTGAATTTCTCCTTTACAGTCAGTCACCCTATAGTTCGCAACATTAATTTCTGTTTCTGTGTAAGTTTCCTAGGAGGATGTGGTCAGCAATTATTGTGTTGCTGAAACTTTTTATTGTGGATTGAGTGAAGGTTTACAGAGCAGATCATCAGTTTTACCTTCAACAAATCATGCACCTTGTTTCATTTCAATGATGGCAATCCCCTCCAAGTAAACAACAGTTATCCCACTTGCTCCCTGTGGTTCTTATTTACATTCTATTCTCCTCCTCAACCTTTGCAACTTTGTTCTTGGGTAAATGTGGCCCTTTTGATCTTTAGTGACTGATCATTCCAAGGTGTGCATACCTTATTAGTGTTGTTGTTCCCCCACCCCAATATACCTATCTACCACTTGATTAAAAATTAGGCCATGAGGGTGAATTCCCTTCTAGACCTGAAGGGTGGCTGAGGTTCCTGGTGAACACTTATGTTACGTTAAGTTTTTTTTACTTGTTTATACCTGTGTGGGTGGGTGGGGATTGGGGACTGGGGCACTTAGTCTTCCTGCTGGCTACCCTCTACCATCTGGCCCTTCTTGGTCTGGGCTGAGACTATGCTTTACCTCTTTTATCATCACTACATGGTCTTTCTCTTGGGTTTCTCTTGATCCAAAGTGTTGTTTTTCAATTTCTTTCCAACCTTGCTGCATTTAAGATAAGTGCGCATATTCACCTTAGGTTTGTGAGTGACCTTAGTGGTGCTGTAGGATAAGCACTGGACTGCTAACCATTGATTGGTGTTCAAACCTGCCAGTGGCTCCATGGGAGGAAGATGAGGCTCTCTACTCCCGTAACAATGTACAATCTTGGAGTTTGATAGAGAGCTGCTAGGAGTTTGGATTAACTCAACAACAGTGGATTTGGTTTGGGTTTTATGGAAACCCTACCAGTGTTTCTGCTAACGAGTACTGCCTCTGGTCAGGCATCACAGAAGCTGGGTCACCCCTGGGTGGGCCCCAGAAGCAAGTGCAGCACTCTGGTAAGTAGCATACAGAGGGTCTGTATCCACTTGGGCTTGGGTATAAATTGGGCTCATAAGGGAATCCTTAGGTAACATACAGTTTACATGATTGACTGCTAACTGAAAGGTTGGAGATCCAAGTACAACCAGAGTTGCCTCTGAAGATCTCTTTATAAAGACCCAGCCATTGGAAACCGTATGGAGCACAGTTGTGACATACATGGGGTTGTCATGAGTTGGGATTGACTTGACAGCAACTGGTCATGGGTAGAGCATAATGAGGAAAACTGACAGCAGTGGACCACAGTCCTGGGGCAGCTACTCTGTGCTGCTGCAGGAAGGGCAGCATCCAGGCCAAAGTCAGGTGCTGCCGTAGAAGCAGGAGTGGCTTTTGCTTTGTCTAACCCAGGTGTGTGTCTCTGTTCCCTCTTCAGTTGGTGCTACCAGAATACTCCATCCACAGCCTCTTCTGTATCATGTTCCTATGTGCGCAGGAGTGGCTCACCCTGGGGCTGAATGTGCCTCTACTGTTCTATCACTTCTGGAGGTAAGTTTACTAGTGCCTGGTCTGTTCTTCCCTTTCTGCCCTCTGGAGATGATGTCCCCCAAATACAGTAGCCGCCTGGTGCCTTCCTTTCTTTCTTTCTTACCCTTTTGAGGACTCTATCTCCAAAGTTCTCTTCCTGAGCTGTTCTCAAGCAGCAAGAAGCCCAACAGGGAACGTTCCCTCTCACAGGCTCCCACTAACCAAAGCCCCAGCCTTGTAGGTCTGCATTAAAAGCAGCTACCAGATGGACTGGATTTTCTGGGACATTTTTTTATTTCAAATATTCTATTCCTTGCTAAGACTATGTGTCAGATCGTGTGATTTGGGCTTTTCAAAATATAGTCACCATATGGACAAGGAAGCAGGGGTGGGGAATTACCAAAGTTGTAAAGAATGCATTTGCACAGATCAATGGTCCACATTTTGCCTGTGCTCCCAGAGCTTGGTCCCCCAAAATGTTTCATTGCTACTATATATGTATTGCCTGCATTTAGTTACATCTTGAATATCCATTCTTTTTTCATTTAGCAAACATGTAGGATACTGCATGCTAGGAATTTTGGAGGTTCCAAGCTGATAAACGATATAGTTCTTACCCTGAAGCCTGTAATAGCCTAATGGCAGAATAAAATATAGTCTCGACAGATTTGTAAGGAATATGCCTAGGAATGCAGAGAAAGAAGCAGTTAGATTGGAGGGAGTGGTGCTGGAAAATGTGGGAAAGTGCATTCCAGCTTTAGGGACTAGCACATGCAAAATCCCAGAGGTTTGAAAACGCGTAGTGTGTTTAGGGAATGAATAACTCCTGTTCAGTGGAGTTGGATGGAGGAGTTTTAGAGGGAAATAAGAAGAGATGGGATTGACAGACTATCTGGGAAACAGGTATGGAGGGTCTGAAACAATGTGATGGAGAAGCTGAAGTTTATTCTGTAGGGAATGGACAGTTATCCAAAGCTTAATTTCCTCATTTGACTCTTAGGATGATGGTCCTGATGACAATGTGGAGGATGGACTGGGGTGAAATGTTGAGGGCTAAGTTCAATGAGGAGGTAGTGACGATGATCCAGGTGAGAGAGGATGAAGACTTGAACCATAGTAGTAGAAGTTGGAGTGGAGAGAATGAGAGAATCTGTTGAGGTAAACTAAGAAGGCCTTGGCCAATACTTGAGTGCAGGAAGTGAGGGAGAGGGAGACCCTGGACATCTGGGAGGGTAGTGGAGTCATTACCAAGAGCAGAAAGCTAGGAGAAGTCACAGGAATAGAGAGGCAGGAAAATGATTTTAGTTGCACCGCAAAATCCCACTTTAAGTAAGTTACGAATCGGGCTGCTAACCTCAAGGTCGGCAGTTGGAAAATTCCAGCTGTTCTGCAGGAGAAAGATGAGGCTTTCAGCCTTGGAAACCCTGTGTAGGGTCACTGTATAAGTCAGAACCGACTCCATGGTACTTAAAACAACAATCTGTTAAAAATCTCAATTTAGAGAGAAGCCAAAGGAAGAATCAGGGTGTTGAAATGTACTGAGTGCCCACTCAGAGACTTTCTATACTTTACCTCATTCAGATAGGTTGAGATAGGCTTCTTTTCCCTTGTTTTACACCTGGGGACATAGAGACTTAACAACAGTGAAGTAAATTGCTTAGAGCTTCACAGCTGCTAAGCAGCAGCAGCAGCAGCAGCAGCAGGTTTTATTCCCAGCATCTACTTCAGTAAGATGTCCTTGCCTTTACCCCAGCGCACATGGCCCAGGGGACTTTATGAAAGGAACTTAGCTCATCTCAACGCTCTTTAAGTAGAGGGTTCCCAATCCAAGCTGTTAAATGTATGGTGAATTTACAGAGCTTTGCTCTAGATACTGCTTCTTGGGGCCATCACATACAATGAGCCCAAAAGGGAGTCAAGGCCAGCCAGTTAAAAAAAAGCCTTACTTACACAGAGGGGGTAGATAGTAGGGACCTTGCTAGTAGGGACTGTGTCTTACTTTTTAAAAAATCCATGGTAGGATTTAGCTTAGATCATTACAATTAGTAAGAACTCAGAAAATGAAAGAGAAAACAAAAATGAGGAAGGGAGGACTCCTTTAAAATGAGTTTTTCAACACCTGTGTTCCTTCCTTTGCGGCCCCTACCCCAACAGGTCCAGCCCAGTAACATTTCTCTTGCAGACAAAGCCCTCTGGCTCTAGCTTCCTATTGTTGTTGATATGTGCCATGGTGGCTATAATAAATCTTTACGTGAGGAGCAGAAAGCCTCATCTGTCTCCTGCAGAACAGCTGGTGGTTTCGAACTGCGGGCCTTAAGGTTAGCAGCCTGATTTGTAACCACTACGCTACCAGAGATTCTTAGCTTTTTGTTAGCTGCCTTTTATTCAGTACTTGTGCTTTGCCGGGTCCCTTACGTACATTGGCTCATTCTAGTCCTCACAATGGCCCTTAAAGTTAGGTTTTACGTGCCTATTTGACAGATGGGAAACCTGAGCCTCAGAGATCATGACTGACCCAAGGAAGGTCCCATGACTGGTTAGTGGCTGAGTTCTGGCTGTCTCCACTGAGCTGCTTGGTTGCCCTCCACTTAATGAGGTCCCCTGGGAACAAGGCCTCTGTGAAAACAAATCGATTTTGAAATCTGCTCCCAGGAAAATGTGAGTGGCCCCAAGGGCTAGGAACTGGCAGATATCATTGAAGCTGGCTTGTGACTGTCTCTCATAATGTCGATGACATAATGTCAGTGTAGTCCTATGAACGGGAAGAGAGAGGGAAGGGAAGTATCAACTCTGTGAGTTGCTATGTTAGAGGGATGTTCTATAGTCTCCTGGTTGGAGCCAGCTCTCCTGCTCCTTGCTTACATTTGAGAACCACGGTCTGTCAGAGAGTCTGAGTGGCCCCTGTAATTTCTACTCCTGGCATCTGATCCTTTTACTGGGATGTCTTAAAAGCAGTCACTCTGAATTCTGCTCCAGTTTGTTCTTCGGCTCCAGAGGAGACTGTGGCAGAGGGCCTAGGACAGGGAGGAGGATCCTCAGTGCACCTACATAGGAATTAGACATCTGTCAGGGCTCACAGGTTAAGGCTCTGGCTCTGGTCTAACCCTGTGTGTGTTCAACCCCAAGTGGCTGTGGTCAGCTCATGCTGAGCCTATGCCATATTCGGCAGTAGACAAAGCTTTAGCCTCTCCTCCTTCCTGTCTTCCACACACTGTTTTGTCATTACCCAGTTTCTCGCTGGGGCTTCTCTGTCCCTACAGAAGGAAAAAAAAAATTTTTTTGTTTTGTTGCTATTCTAGGCCCTTATATTAAGAAAAAAAAGTATCAGTATCTGGGTAACTACTTGACATTCAAGTAGGAAATACATAGTCATTCCTGAGTACTCAGTTTTAACAGAGGGTCTAGATAGAGGATAATTCTTCATCCAAAGAAATTTAAGCTTGAAGCTCCAGTGGCATCTAGGTGACAAGGACAGCTCTATAATGTCTTACACTTGCATCTTTGCTTACACTCATGTCTATACACTGCTAAACTCCATCTCTCTCAGAGGGATGAGGGGGACAGAGGCTCTTCCTGGTACCTCTCAGGTAAAACAAGTCTACATGTTTTTCCTTACATCAGAGCAGCTTTGAATATGTATATATACAGGGTCATTATGAGTTGGAACCAACTGAATGACATTTAACAACACCAAGTCACCATGAGCCAGTGGTTTGAGTATTTGGTGAGTTACATACTACCTGTTTATAGAGTAGTAACCTCCAAGCTGTTCTTTGGTAGCACCTAAATCGAGATCCCAGCAGATGACCTAAGGTGCTTAGTTGGAGGTCCCTTAGAACAAAGTCTTGCATCAGTAGAGTTTGGCCCCCAGCTCCTTCAGATGCCCCTTTCTAAGCTTCATTGGCAGTGGTGCATGTTCTCTTTTCCTGCAGGTATTTCCATTGTCCGGCAGATAGTTCAGAGCTGGCCTATGACCCACCGGTGGTCATGAATGCAGATACCTTGAGTTATTGTCAGAAGGAGGCCTGGTGCAAGCTGGCCTTCTATCTCCTCTCCTTCTTCTACTACCTTTACTGGTGAGTTCTGCCCCTCCAGGTGAGTTTGATGCAGCAAATGCAAGTGGATTTTTCAGGTGGATCTGGTAGCCTTTGGGAAGAGGTCTATGAGACTGGGAGTCATAGTCTGTTGGATATAACCCAAGTCGTCAAACCCTAGTTCAGATAAGGGCTTCTGTCTGAGCAAGTAAGAGGGATAGGGATCGAAGGTCCTGCAGCAGGACCTACCTGCTGGAAGGCACATTTTAGGCCATGCAGCCAAACACATCCCACCAGGTTCTCCTAGGAAATAATTGGTACAGTACTGTTGGCTATTCCTTCCCAATAGGACTTTCTGCCTCACAGAACCTCACAGCTCAGCCACCAGATTACCTTTGCCTCACTAAACTGTATGTGAGCATCCTTGGGTACCACAGAAGAAACCCTCAATGGCAGTTACACTTCATATAACAACATGCTGGGTCATTAAATGCTTACACTAACAATTTCCCCAGTATTATATAACAACATTCTAATTAGGTAAAACATGCTGATTTTGCAATTCTGTTTCAGAAACCTCCTCTCTTCTCACCTCTTTACTCAGAACATCCCTGCTTACCACACAGTTATAAACAAACTGCCTTGTATTATGGTTTGATACTCCAGAAGCTGATTTGTCTCCCACTACTTCTGGATTCTCTTTGGGCCCAGGGTTCTCTTGCCTGTCATCTTGTTATCTCATCACTACTTGTGGGACGGCTCTAGATAGCCCAATGCTGTCTCCAAACTGTCAGGGTTGACAGTAGCTAGGTGAGGCAGGGAGGGTGGGGCTATTAGACTCCAGGACAATCCTAAAATTGGGCTGTGGTAGATTGGGAAGTGGTGTGTTTGTCCAGCATTTAAAAATGAGCCAAGCTAAAAACTATGAAAAGATTTATTTGTATTGCTCTTTTTATGACATAAATGCTATCATTGCCCACGTTTTTAAAAATAAGGAAACAGAAACTTCCCCAAAGTCACAGGGACTAAAGTATCATGTCAAGCTGTAGGTTCATCTCAAGTGTGATTCCAAGATTCTTAATTGTAAGCTGTTTTAGACAAACTCTAGAACAGTCTTTATTATGGTCTTTGGACTATTGTATGGGAACAAAGTGAGGAAGGTGCACTTTAAAACGCAGACTCGTAGAATTAGAACCACTGATTTGAAATATCTGGGGCTAGGAGTCTACATTTTAAATAAGCTCCTTAGAAGATGGTGGTGCACATCTCAACTTAAGACCTGTTAGCCTGGATGGGTATGTTTCATTCTAGTTCCCTCTCCACACCTGGTCCCTTAGTCCGGATCCATCCTGAGTGTCACCCTCTCCTCCCCTCCCCATCCGTCCTCAGTGTTTCCTTCTACTCCCTTCCCCCATCCATCCTCAGTGTCTCCCACTACTCCCCTCCCCCATCCATCATCAGTGTTTCCAATTCTTTGTGACTCCAAATTTGAATTTTTTAACTCCATAAAGCTTGCTCAGACTAGTCTGTCTTTGAAAACCTTCCAGTTGCCATAAAGTTGATCCTGACTAATAGCAATCCAGTCAGAGTTGGACTTCAATGTGGCAGAGGGATTTCAATGGCTGAATTTTTGGAAGTAGTTTGTTAGGCCTTTCTTCTTTAGCATTTCTAGGTGGCCTGGACCCTTCATCCTTTCAGTTGACAGTTGAACATATTAACCATTTGCACCACACAGGGACTCCTGAGGATTCTGTAGAGATAGGAGGAGTCATTGGGAGTTAGGGAATTGATAGCTTGGGTTACTGTGGAGAATAGGTTTCTGCACCTCATCTTCTTTGTGGGCCTTCAGAACCCTTGCTGCAGAGAGAGATCTGTTCCAAAAGCCAGTAGGACAAGGACAGAACTTTCCCTGGTTCCTATTCCACTAGTCTAGAGGCATCTATCCACTTTAGTCCTGAGGAAGGCTAGGGTAGGAACCTGCTCCTCATTTCTCTTTTAATACAGTTGCTGTTGGAACCCAAGACATTTGGTAGAAGACAGCATATGAATTCACAGACAGAAAGCAAAGTGACTCTGTCGACTTGGCTGTGGATCAGAAGGGGGCTGTGTGGGGTGGTATTGGTGGGTGGCTGTCATGATTCTATAACTGATTATATTCCAGACATTTTGTTTGACGTCTGTCTTTTGTCCAGGCACTTAACAATAACAACAACAACTTCTGTCCATTAGATCAGTTTGGCACTGCCAGTATGTTAAATACATTCATTGTTTTGTTTCCAAAATAAAATGGGAAAGGATGGTTCCTCTGCTTCTCTGGATCTCTAGGTGGTAGCCGGAGGACATCTGCATTCTTTGTAGAACTTGACCTCTTGGCACTCTTCATTATTACTAAAAAACAAAACAAAACAAAACAAAAAACAACCATTTTCCACCTTAGGATCTTCCCACCCCTCAGAGCACAGTACCGTCAACTCAGACCACTCTTGTCAGATTGGTATGTACTGGGTGCTACACCGGAGTCAAGCATGATGCTGGAGGTGCACACAATATAGCAGCTGAGAATCCCAGATAGGGTGTGCTGGTGCTTTATAGTATGAGGTTAATGGTAGATTCCTAGGAAACTGAGAGAGATTAAGATTCTAAGGAGTAAGTTGCAATTTATCTGTCTTCAGAGCCTGTGTGCTTTCCACTATGTGGTGCTAACCACATTGGCACCAACCACTACCCTTCTGAGTTTTTCTTGTGGACCAGGAGATATTTGCAGGCTATGTGGGCTAGATAGCACCAAGAGTTAGTACTGTGGAACACTGTCTGCCTGTACAAAGATCTTTTCTAACCTGGAGTGTAAAGTAAGCCCATATTTGCTACCTAAAGTCCTACCACCTTCCTTCCCAGGTTCTGGATCACACCTGCCCTTCCTCATGTTTATTGCCTTCATAATATTTACCACAACCGTACTCTGTCAGGCTGTATGCTGAGCACATAATCTGAGATGCTGGATTATGTGAAGAAGGATGTGGCATCAGGATTGTAGGAGGACTCATTAACAACTTGAGATATGCAGATGATACAATGTTGCTTGCTGAAAGTCAAGAAGACTTCAAATACTTACTGATGAAGATCAAAGACTGCAGTCTTCAGTAGTTATTGCACCTCAATGTAAGGAAAGCAAAAGTCCTCACAACTGGACCAATAATATCTTCATGATAAACTGAGAAAAGATTGAAATTGTCAAAGACTTCATTTTGCTGGGATCCACAACTTACATGGAAACAATAATCAAGAAATCAAATGATGTATTGGATTGGGCAAATTTATTGCAAAAGACCTCATTAAAATGCTAAAGAGCAATGATGTTAGTTTGAGGAATAAGATGTACACAACTAACCCAAGTCATGATGTTTTCATCTGCCTTGTATGCATGTGAAAGTTGGACAATGAATAGGGAAGATAGTAGAAGAATCAAAGCATTTGAGTTATGGTGTTGGAGAAGAATGTTGATAGTACCATGGACTGCCGGAAGAACAAAAAAATCTGTGTCAGGAGAAGTACAGCCAGAATGCTCCTTAGAAGCCAGGATGGCCAGACTTTGTCTCTCATTCTTTGGACATGTTATCAGGAAGGACCATCCCTGGAAAAGGACATCATGATTGGTAAAGAGGAAGGTCAGGGAAAAAGAGGAAGACCCCAATGAGATAGACTGACACAGTGGCAGCAACAATGGGCTCAAATCTAACAATTGCAAGAATGGCAGGACCAGGCTGTGTTTCGTTTGACAACACTTAACAACATACTTACAGTAAGAAGGCAAGAGTAGTTTGGTGATAGAATCTGTCTGTTAGTGGAGGCTTGTGTGTTGCTTTGATGATAAACAAGTTTCAGTGGAGCTTCTAGATTAAGACAGACTAGGAAGAAAGACCAAGTAATCTATTTCTAAAAATCAACGAGTGAAAACTGTGGATTCACATGGGTCTTTTCTTAGGCTGGGCTTTCTAGAGGACCCAAAACTGTGAAATATATATATATTTGGCTTGGAGAGAGAGAGAGAGAGTCCGTCCTGGTGTGGCACTGTGGGCGAATGCATCAGACTGCAAAGTTGTTTGAACTGCAAGAGGTTGGTGGTTCAAGCTCACCAGCTGCTCCTTGGAAACCCTATATAGGGTTGTATGGGTCAGAATTGACTCAACGGCCCTTAACAACAACAAATATGTATATATGAAAAGTTTATTATCAAGGAAATGGCTTACAATTGTAGAGTCCCAGTTCCCCAGTGGATGACAGAGTGAGTCTTTCCCATATGCCCATTATATGAGGAACAGACCACACCCCCAGAGAAGCATCCCTTCAATCGATTGGCTGCTCATAGCCACTCATCACAGAGTCAACCATGCCTGAATTAGGTTGCATCACCATGGGAATAAGCACATCTCAAGTGCTAACCCTCTGGAAATCCTGACCTAGTTCAGTTTCCACAGAACCGTAGCCAATGCAGGTCTCATTCACAACCAATCATGGGACTGCACAGGACTAGACAGTGTTTTGCTGAATGAGGTCACTATGAATCAGAGCTAACTTGACAGTAACTGACAAAAACAACATATTTACCTTATTTATGTATTTACTTGTCCCTGATGACAAAGACCTCATTTGTTTTATTCACCTGTGGCTGCACACTCACCATTATTTCTCAATAACTAAAACAGTACCTGGCCTACAGTGGGTGCTCAATAAATAACTTGAAAGAAGGGACATACAAAAATGAGTAAATAAAGACATTGGCAATGAGACTCAGTGTTACAATGGAAAGAGCACCAGATCTGGGGATAAGATGTGGCTTCCTGCCTTGGCTTCCTTAGTTGTGTGACCTTAAGCCACCACTTGTTGCTGGCTCTCGATTTCACCATGGATAGAGAGACCCAGTGGTATGGTGGGAGCAAGGTGTACCAAACTCTCCCAGATGGAACTGCAGCTACTCAGAAAAAGTTTGTTAGGGCTTTTCGGCTGGACAGGGTTAAAAGTAAAACACATTAGTGACTTTCCTATGGTTTGAGGTTTTTAGATGGTCATTTTCTCTCTCTATGACATTAAGAGGTGACTGTCTTTCTTCCTGCCAAAGAGAGTAAGAAATTTCAGTGTGGATCATTGTTCACCTTGCAGGATAGCCCTGCAGACCTTTCTTAAGAGCTTTGGGATGCATGTCCCCTGCCCCTGTGTTAGAACCCATGATCTTAATGCATGTTTAGTGCCTGAATTTTATTAAAAGTGGGAGGACCAAGGGGTTATCCAATTATGAACCCATGCAGTTCACAAACCCAGAGGGCCTGTGCTCATACATAAACCCTCACAATAGTGGTCATCATCTTTTCTCCAGCACTCACATAACTGGGGAGCGCCTGGACACAGTTATCTTGTAAGCATGAGGCAGCTGATGAGATAAAGAATCTGGTGCCAACCTCCTACCCCCCCAGAGACCTGCCCTGAAATGGCAGGAAAGAGGAATAACAACCATGATAATCATACTGATGAGAATAACAAGAGACACTTAAGGCAATCACATCTTTTATCCAAGGGACACAATGTGCTCGTCTAGGAAACGTTTAGTCTAACGTTGTGGGAAGTAGTTGGAGCAGTAGGATGGGGGATGAACTAGAGGCTCTCACAATGGTAGTGAGGATCTTTTCTTAGGCTGGGTTTTTTGGAGGACCCAAACTTGTGAAATATATAAATATATATATATATAACTGCTGTTGTTGTTGTTGTTAAGCGCCATTGAGTCAGTTCCAACCCATAACGACCCTATATAGGGTTTCCAAGGAGCGACTGGTGAGCTTGAACTGCTGACCTTGCAGTTCAAATGGCTTTGCAGTCTGGCCACACCGTGACTCCTCTCAACAACTAACCCTCTGGAAATCCTTGTCTAGTTGAGTTGACACCGAACCTTTACCATTACAGGTCAATGGTAGTGAAAAAGAAGCCAAAGTGTCCGGCTTCCCGAAGGTTCCTCATTTGAGGGCAAGTCTGAATCCTCCAAGGACACCTACTAATGCCATCTTTTTCTTTTCTTTTTGCATCTAGCATGATCTACACTTTAGTGAGCTCTTAACTCAAAAGCCACACATGTCAACAGAGACTTGGACGGGAGAAGCCCAGGCTGAGACATGCACTTCTGCTGGTGGTTGGAGGAGGGCCCCAGAATGGGGATGAAGGAGAAGTAGACCCAGCAGATCATTGGACTGAATCAGGAACTGAGATGGTGTGGCCGGTGGGCTGAGTTAACTGTGCGTCTGTTGTTGCCCCATGTCCCTTAGTCTTTGCCGTTCCAAACCCCACATGTGGGTTGTACATCCCTTCTGAACATGGGAGTGGGAGTGGTGAAGCACTCAACCTCTCCTGAGTGGGAATTGCTGCTTATTGAATCCACGTCCTTGCACAACGTCCTGCAAGTTCACCCTGTATTCCCAACTGTGGGAGTGGAGGCCCATAGGCTGGAGGATGCCTGTTCAGGAACAGAACGACCCAGAGTCAGGGGCCAAGTCTGTGGACCCCCATCCAATGCCTCAGTGTTGTTGTAGGCTACTCAAGACTTTTGTCATGTTACTTCCAAGCCAAGGTCAAACTCATTATCTCAAGTGGGAAGTGGCTGGGAGGTGTGCAGAATTTGCCTTCAGCAACACCTAGCTCCGAGCCTGCATGGGGTGTTTATTTCATGCTCTACTTTGTGAGAGCCAAGCTTAGTGATGTCATGAAGTAGGCTGGAGACAGTATGTTGGTAATAAGTCTTGTCCAAAGTACAGGAGTCAAATGTGGAGGGGGGAGGGTGCTGATAGGAAAAACGATTTTTAAAAGCATTAGCAACGTGCTCATGGTGTTAAGTTCTGTATCACAAATGTGTGTTCTGTGGCCACCCAAGATGATCACACATTCATTTCATGCAAATTAACTGGTCAACACCAGTCAAAACTACCTTCATTTAAAGATTCCCAAACAGCTCTGAGTGTAGAAATTCCCCCAGAGTATTGTGGGCATCTGAGAGCCAGGAAATAAGACAACATAATTATACTTTCATTTTATGATACTGCATCATTTGTATGGCTCCGTTTTAAGAGGAGTACATTAGCTGATTTAGAATTTTCCATTTGACGTTCTTTTTCTTTTTGGGTGGGAGTTGTGCTAGGGGGTTGTAAATAATGACAAGGCTGAGCTTTTTATTATGTTTAAATTGAGCACAGTGATTTTGACCTTATTCTCCAAACTTCCCTCTTCTCCACTGTTTGACACATGCAGGCTATTTATACATGTACCAAGTTCTCGTCAGAAACCTGTGAGTCAGGTTTATGAATGGTGTTTGTGTAACACGTCGTGTGCTATGTTTAAAACGCTGCAACAACAACTTGAGTCTCACCTACTGCTGTCTCATTTAAACCCCATTTCAAGCTGGATATATCTCCATATGGTTGGTAAACTGGTAGGTAGAAAAAGCAGATTTTCAAAAAGGCATTTTGCTTCTAAAAATTCTATAGAAAACAAAATACAGATTTCTATTCTGGGGCTAACGGTGCAAAACCAGAGAATCAGAGGCAATATTTTTGGGAGAAGACTTCTCTTCTGGCGTAGACTCATACGTCCATTTGAGTCTCTGTTTGGGGGATATAGAGTTACTTTCTGAAGCGTTAGGCTGGTTTGTAGCTCCATTCTCGAGAGAACCAATTACTCTCATCCAGAGAAAAGCCCTGGGTTCCAGACCACTAACAGTACATGTAACTCCATAGCCATCTTGCAAATGTACTTCTCATCGCGAAACTGCTTTTGTTTGTTTTTAAACATTGTCTCCTTCTGAAAAGATAAGTGTCTGATAATAGTGGACACAGTTCCATAAAGGTTGTGTAATGGGAACAGAAGTCCAGACGTTTGAAGGGGAAGCACGCAGAGATACCTGTTTCTGAGCTGCTCTCATTTCTGTGATTGAACATTATACTTGATATGATTTTTTTATCAGTAGTAAATAAGTCTTCACATTTGCAGAATGCTTTACACTTAACAGATTGCTTCCCCGGACACCTTCTCATTTGTTACTCCTTTGAATCCTGTGAAGTTTTGCAGATGATGAAGCTGCGGCTCAGAGACAGTATGTGACTTGCCATAGTCACACAGCAGCCACAGATCTGTCTTTGAATCCAGGTCTTTTGGTTTTAAAACATGTTATGGATTTAACTGTGTCCTCCAAAAATGTGTGCTGTCAATCCTAGCCCCTGATCTTGTGGGTTTTCTTTGTATGTTAATGAGGTGTGTTTTAAACCAATCACTTTGGAGATATAAAAGGTGCAGATCAGGCACAGAAGAAACAGACATGGAGGAAGACCTGCCAGATCTGCAGACTGAGAGGCTGCCCAGTCTACAAGCCCAGACATTCCAAGGATGGCCAGCTGGAAAAGCTGAGACAAGGACCTTCCCTCAGAGCCACCAGAGAAAGAGGCTTTACCTAGAGAGGGTCCCCTGAATTTGAACATCTAGCTTCCTGAATTGTGAGACAATAAATTTCTGTTCATTAAAGCCACCACTTATGGCATTTCTGTTGTAGTGGTGTTGGTGATGTGCCAAGGAGTCAGTTCCGACTCATAGTGACCCTGTATAGGATTTCTGAGGCTGTAAATCTGTACAGGAGCAGAAAGCCTCATCTTTCTCCTGCAGAATGGCTGGTAGTTTGGGACTGCTGATGTTGAGGTTAGCAGCCCAACTCATAACCACTATGCAACCAGAGCTTCCCAAGAATCTAAGACAAAACCTCATGTCCTGTCCTTTCCATCATACCTGAAAGCTGGAACAGTAACTTGAGTCCTGTTGGAGTTTGATTGGTAGCAATAACTTTTCAAGAAAGAGAGAAAGTTCTGAAAATGTAACTTTAGAGTAAATTCTTGGGTGTTCTGGTTTCCATTTAGAATGTTAATCTCAGACTTGCTTTACTGTGTGAGGTTCTTATCTAAGGTGGTTCTTTCCAAAGCTTCAGAAGCTGTAAGTGCCTCATGAGTAGCTCTTAGCTTTATGTAAGAGAAATGATCTGGATGTTTGTCTCCCACAAATTCACTGGGACAGAATCCCAGTGGTCTGCTGGGAGTTTCAGCCAGTTTTCATTTCCTGGGAAAAGTAACCATGATTATAAAAATAATAGTAATGGCTACTGAACTTGGAAGGCGTGCTGTCTGCCAAGTCCTGGTATGGCATTGTGGGTTAATGCGCTGGACTGCAAGGTTAGTTTGAACCTCAAGGTCAGCAGTTTAAACTCACCAGCCACTCCTTGGAAACACTATGCAGGGTTGCTATGAGTTGTAACTGATTTGGTGGCACTTAACAACACAATAATATATATATATATGCAGGTCAGTGCTCTGGACAGCAAGTTCGGTTTGAACCACAAGGTTGGCAGTTCAAGCTCACCAGCCACTCCTTGGAAACTCTATACAGGGTCGCTATGGGTCAGAACCAATTCCACGGCACTTAACAACCATAAAAACAATAGCCCATGATCTTAAACAACTCTTATAGTGATCATATAAAGCAGTTTAGATATGCTCATCACCACTTAAAACAAAACAACAAAACAGAATGAAAAACAAAGCAGTTGCCACTGAGTTGACTTTGACTCCCGATGATACCAAGTGTTTCAAAATAGAACTGCACTTCATCGGTTTTTGAGGTTGTGACCTTTCAGAAGTAGATCACCAGTTCTTTATTCAAAGGTGTAACTGTCAACCTTTTGGTTAGTAGCCCAGCACTTAATTGCTCACAATACCCAGGGACTCTATCCCCACCTTAGCAGTGAGGAAATGGGAGGCTCACTGAAGGTCTTCCCTAGGTGATATAACCCCAGAACAGGTGCTCAGTGCTACTAATAGTGACCAAATAATGATTGTTATGAATTGGGGTGTCAAGTACTGTTCTCTATGTTTCATGTGCACATTTTTCTGGCCTGCATTAACAACACCTTAAAGTAGGAACAATCCCGATTTTATAGATGAGGGAATTCTGAGATGAGTCACACTCGAACAAACTCACAGCCAGCAAGGGGTGTGCGTAGCTGCAGCTGGAATTTCAACCCAGGCCCGACTCTTCTCATATCACGTCGCCTGCTAGAATTTCTCCATTTCTCATTGTCTCCGAGAAATCACCCAAAAGAGGAAGGAGAGTAATGCTGCAGAAAGAGCACCCTGGATGAATCCACAGTGACTGTCACCCTGGATGGGGAGAGCTCAGTCCTCCACACACATGGGGTCTGGAACCAGTTTCTTAAGGGCCACAGACATCACCTGAGGTGCTGAATTGGTTCCCATTCCCTTTGTGAGGCCAAGACGTAGGCCTGGTGTGTAGTGTGGCTATGCCTACAAGTTCAGAACGTGACCCAGCAAAATTGCTTAAGCTCATTTTTCACTTTGCTACCACACCTACTGCTATCAAGTTAACCCTGACACACAGAAACCATCTAGGACAGAGTAGAACTACCTCCAAAGGGTTTCTGAGATTATAAATCTTTACGGGAGCAAACCACCTCATCTTTCTCCCATGGATAACTGCTGGGTTTGAACTGCTGACTTTATTAGCAGCCCAATGTATGACCCACTGCTCCACCAGGGCTTTGCTGCAGCAAGGAGAATAATGGCACTGGCTTGGCATGAAGATTAAATGAGTTCATACTTACAAAGAACTTAGAACAGTGCCTGACACATGGTAAGTACTCTGTAATGTTTGTCATGGGATATGTCTTCTAGTGCTCTCCTTCTTCTGCCCTGTGCTCAGGCCTGGCCATCTGGAAAGGGAGTGAAGACCTCAGAGTCCAGCTGGCCTTCTGCTGCCTCAGTCTAATCTATACTGTCCTGAGCAGAGATTCCAGGCACCACTGTTTTTTTTTTTTTTAATGTTTTATTGTAAATTATGTGGTAGTTTACATGGGAGAACATTAGATTTACATTCATCTTATTGTATATGGTTTCATTGTCATGGTTACAATCCCCTC